CCCGCGGGGTGGGAGGGGGAACTCGAGCGAATGATTGACTTCCATTGTCAAGGGGACGCGTTCAACGGGGAGACCTATCAGGCTGGGAGGGCATGGGCCCCCTTGGCTCCGCTCCCGCCGTCGCCCCTGAGCCGGCGGCCGCGCGTGTTCCATTCATAGGCTCGACCTCCCGGCCGCGGCGGCATGCCCGCCCCCCGCCGCATACGACACCCATGCAATGTCTCCCATCGCGCTAGCTCACCGCGACCCGGCGGCGAGTGTTGGATGCGGCGCCGGCGTCACACTCGGCGGCCCAAAGTTAATATCTGCCCGTTTGTGGGCCGAGCGGAGGAGCGCCTGACGCAGGCCCAGGTTGGGTGGCCTCGGGCCGGAAGGGGCCGGCCCGCCCTCAGGCAATGGCTCGACTGCGTTGCATGCGCACTTACGAGTGCGACCACAGGGGAGGGCGGAGCCCGACCCCCAATCCCCCGAGCCCGCCCGGTAGCAGCAAGTTAGGGGCGCCTCCTTCTCGCGGCCGCACCGAAGGCGGCCCGACCCCATGACTTGGCTGCCTGGCGCACGGCGCACGGCGCACGGAGGGACCCCGTTCTATCCCCCCCCCCGGGGCCCAAACAACACTTTTCATCCACGAGACCCCGTACCGCCTCGTCTCGCCACACACACGTCCCCGCTCCCGGTGTCTCCTCCACACACACACACACACACACACACACACACACACACATACACACACACACACACAGACCCTGGTCTTTCTCTCTGCTGCGACATCCCCCGGCATTTGCGTATGGGGCAAAGTGGGCCAGAAGGAGCCACCCTTGACGGAGAGGCCCTCCTCAGCGCTCCCCCGACGCAAGTCAATCAGGAGCTTCTCGGCGGGGCGGCGCGGGGCTCCAGAGGCAACGGCGGAGCGCGCGGGCCTCCGTAAGCCCCCCCCCCCCCCACTCACCAGAGGAAGGCGCCGATTAGCCCTGCGGGCCAGGCGCCGCGTAAAACGGCAAGCGAGTGTACATATCGAATATGTATGCCCCAGGTCGCACGCGTTGCCCCTGGCTGCTTTCTCAAGAGAGAGAGCCCCCACCCGCGCCGCGGCCCCCGCTCTCCTGCGCGCCCCGCCCCGCCCCCCCCCCCGGGGGGGCAGGAGACACCCCCACAACGTACTCACGCCCATGTGTAGGGAGCGGGGAAAATGCAACACTTTCCTTCCCACGGACGGGCCGCCCCGGCCTTGGGTCGGGAAGGGGGGCAACTCCGAAGGCGGACGGCACGGGCTGGGCCGTCCAAACGCATGTTTCCAGCCCCCATCTCCCCGGCCGTCAGCAGGCATTTGCAAGATCGCAGACGGGCCTCGACCGGGGGCGGTACATTCCTGATTCCCTTGCCTTCGCCCGTTGATCGGCCCTCCTTGCCCCTGTGGGCACAATGGAGCGGGGCCCAGAGGGGGGGGGGGGGGGGAGGGGGGACGGGCCGGCCGCTGGACCGGCGGGCGGGCGGGCGCTTGAACAGGGGGGCGCCGGGGCACGGATAGGATAGAGATGGCCACGAGGAAAAACTATCAGCCAGTGCCCCTCGGAGTGACCTCCTCCCGGGGAACCGGTAGCACTCCTCTTCCCTCCCCTCCAGCCCGCCCCCCCCCCCGCTCCGCACCCTACTCGCGCGCGCATACCCTCCCCCCCCCCTCCCCCCACCCCAGCACACACATACATTTGTACATATATCCCCATTCAAACGCCGAGACATTCCCCGGCCCCCGATACTGGCTTTCCGGTCTCTCTCGCTTGCTCCTCGTCGCCCTCTCGCCGTCCAGCAGAGCTCGCGGGCTCTGTCCAAACACCCTACCCAAAGCTGATGCGCGGGAGCTCACCTGCCACCCCGCCCACCCTCGCCCCCCTAGCCCCCGCGCCTTGGGACATACCGCTCCCGCCGCCGCCGCCACCGCCGCTGCCTGCTTCCTCTCACCAGGCATGGGCATTCCTGTCGGCAAATGGGCCCCTCCCTCTTCGGGCATGAGCTCTTTCCCCTCGTCATCCCACTCCTCCTCGTCATCCTCGCTCCTCCCCGGCCCCTCGCGCCACCACAACCACCAGGCCGGGCTGGTGGCTGACTCGGCTCCGGCCGCCGCCGCCGCCGCCGCCACTCCTGGAGACATGTCCAACGAAACCACTCCTCCAATAAAGGCCCTCCCTTGCCATGGAGATGCTCCCCCGCCAGCTGACGAGGATGCGGCCGCGCCGCGTCACACCTTGGTCCCCCAAGGGACACCCACATCTGGCGCGGTGATCAGCAGCGGCGGCCCTCCACTGCTAGGCCAGCCCTCTCGCTATCCACACACCTTCCGCCTGGCCTCCTATTCGGAAGATGGTATGACACCCACGCAAGCCCCCCTCCTCATCAGCCATTCCTCCCTCCTCCCCGCGACTTTCCATGAGCCCTGACCGTCATTCGCCGAACAATGCGTCCTCCTTCTCTCCCTCTCTCTCTCTCTCTCTCCTTCTCCCTGTCTCTCTTTCTCTCCAGAACGAAGCAGCCATCGCCGTCGGGTGCTCCAGTCGCAGCTCGACTGCCCTCGGCCGGATCTCTATCTCAAATCGCGCTTCAAAACATCGGCCCAAGCACGGCATCACGCCCACCACACGGATGATGCATTTGCCTCGGACCCCGGGATCCCGCCTGCCCTCGGCCCGAGTAGTGCCCATCCGGAGCCCCGCGCGCGTAGCCATTCCGATGCTGATGCCTCGGCCGCCATGGCCGATCGTCACACTGAGCCCTACCTCCGGCGCCGCTCCTTCCGCGATCATGCAGATGCTCCTCCTGGGCGTGAGTACTCCTCCTCGTCGACCACCTCCGCAGCCTCCTCTCTGCCAGGTGGCCCATGGTCCCACCTACATGCGTCCGGCCGAAGTCCCCCGCCCCGCCATGTGTCCCCCCTGCCATATGCCCCGGGCCCGGACGTGCGTATGGCTGCCCTTCGGCAGGACCCTCCATTTTCCTCACATTCCGCTGCTTCCTCTTCCCCTTGCGCGCGCACGCTCTCCCCCCCCCCCCCCCCTTCTCCCTGTCTTTGTCTCTCGTGCTGTCCAAGCAGAATGGCCCACTGACACGTCGTCCATGTGACCAGTTTGTCAGCCTTGTCCATCGGAATTTGGTTCACCTGGACTATCGCCCCGATCCAGGGGTGCGACTTGCATCGTCGGCCATGCCCACCTCATCATCTCTCCTTGAGAATGATGAGCCTCCGGTCGAGCGCCTGGTCTTGACCAAGCTTGTCGGACGTGGGTCCTTTGGCAGCGTCTACCTCGGCAATCGGACACTCGCCCCGGGGCCCGGTGCGTCGGAATCCCCGCCGACCGACCCGCCCCCGGGCGACCCGCTGGCCCGCTTGGCAGTGGTCAAACTTTTGAAAGTACGTGAGAGGGAGCCCTCCCCCCGCCCTGCGGCTGTGACGGAACGAGAGCGAGCAAAAGAGCGAGAGAGAGAGAGAGAGAGAGAGAGAGAGACCTTCCTCCTTCTGTTTTTTTCTCTCTCAGTACCTCTCTCCTTGCTTTCGCCGCTCGGCCTCCCCTTGGGCTGTGTGATGTGTGATTGCCCAGTGGCTAACCCCCCTCTCTTCTTTTACCCTTTTCCTTGGGGGGCCCCCACAGCCGCATCACCTCCGCTCGGCCAATGGCGAAGTGGCCAAGGCCTTCCTTCGGGAGATCGGTCTGCTACGCATGCTTCGGCATCCGCGAATTATGCCGCTGCTCGGGTCGGGATCGCGCCTGGATGCCGACGGCGGCGAATGGTTCTATGTGATGCCCTTTTTCGAGGCGGGCTCTTTGCGCGAGTGGCTGAGCTTGGTTCGTGATGGACAGATAACACTCCAGGCAACCATGCGCCCCCCGGCCCTGCCTTCTCCTTCGCTGTCCCCCTTTCCCTCTCAGCATGAGACTAACCCCTTCTCCTTTCTCCCCCCCCCCCTCCCCATTCCCCTCTTGCCGGACGCCCCTCTCGCAGTCGCTCTTCAAGTATCTGACACTGGAGAAGAAGATCCAGATTGCAATGGACCTTCTGCATGCTGTGGCCTACCTCCATTCCCATGGGGTTGCGCACCGAGACATCAAGCCGGACAACATTTTCATCGAGTCGTCGCAAACTTTCCGCGTGTGTCTCGGCGACTTTGGAATGGTTCTCTTTGTGGCGTCGCGCTCGCGCTCGGCCGATCAAGCACGCCTCTGCTCGCTATCTTCGGCGGCACGCATCCGTGCGGATCCCGTCTCGGTGGCTGCGTGTCAGGCGGCTGCCGCCACCGGCGAAAGCCATCCCAGCGGTGTCGGCGATCCTGGGCTCTATGAATTGGCTGACCTCTCGGCCTCCGGGGGTGCCAGACGCCCAGGCGAGCTGGCAGTCGAGTGGCGCGGCTGTGGCTCATCCCCGTATGCCGCACCAGAAGTTTGGTGTGGCGCCTCGCCCGGGGAGTTGCCCAGTCTCCTGGCCACGGCTATGGTGACTCGCCTGTCGCCGACGGCTGCCGGTGAGAGTCCCACAGACCAGCAACCAGCTTCGGACGATCGCCCTGGCGACGGGACGGAGCCTCGCACCGGGTCCCTCGATGAGGAAGCCCTCATCGATGGACCCTTTCGTGCGGACGTCTGGTCCGTTGGTTCGGTGCTATATGAGCTATTTTCGTACGATCAGCCCTTCTCCCCTGCTGGCACTTTCTCCCTCTCTCTCCTCTCTCCTCTCCTCTTCCTCTCCTCCTCTCCTCCTCTCCTCCTCTCCTCCTCTCCTCCTCTCCTCCTCTCTTCCTACTGCCCTTGAGCCCTTCGCTCCTGCTATCTGGCCTTCCTGACCGTCCGACAAAATGGCCCCCCTCGGAACAGCCTCGAGACCCCCTATCGCCCGGCGGACCCATCAGCCTTCATGCGGAATGTGCGCGATCACTCCCCGGAGCCCTTGTCACCAAGTGACTTCTCATCCAGCAGCAGCTCCCTGTCGCTGTACAGCGCGGCTGGGCCTGATGCGCTGGCAGATTCCGCGGCCAATGACTCGGACCCTGGGTCGCCACCCGTAGGCCTGGCATCCATTAGTCTGTCTGGGGCAGCCGGCTCGTCAACCCCCCCGCCGGGGGCCTTCCCCCCGCCGGCGCATCCGCACCCGCACCATCCCCACTATCATCACTTTCTCCAGCGAGCACCGGTGGACATCCCCCATCAGCGCCCGATCTTCGAAGAACTCCATGGCCCGGGGACACCGCCGGAACCGGCAACCATCGCCCCGGGCCATGACAGTTCCCTTGCGGGATCGCCGCCGACCACTGCTGCAATGGGGATGCTGCTTTCAAGCTCGCTGCCGGATGACTCGACCATCCTCTCGTCCCCCGGGTCGCCTATGTCTTCGTCGGAAATCCGCTGCAACCAGTGGTTCGGTCTCATCCATGATATGCTGGCCTTTGTTCCAGGCGATCGGCCCACCGCGCGTGAGGCCCTCGAGCGCAGCTTGCAATTCCACCTTCCACCGGGGGTGGTTGTCCCGACGGCTGATGATCTGGCCGATTTGGATGCTGCCGCCAGTGCAACCACATTTGCCACCCTGCCCGGCACCACCGGGGCTTGCCGGATGGATGTCCGCGGCGACGAAGCCGGCACCTCTCCGGCGCCTCTGGCCAGCTCGCGAGCGCCGTTGCCCATTCCATCTGGTGGTGGGTCATTTCCCCGGGAACCACTGGCGGGACCTCCGCCTCGGGGGCTCCCCCTTCCCCCGGCAGCCGGGGCTGCTTCTACAGCTAGCAGCTCCCTTGGCCTGGCGCGGTCTGCTCGGGACAATGCCCCGCCCGTGGTCACTGGGCCGAGTGCCGACAGCCCTCCGGCCGATTCCCCGGCCTCCCTCCATCGCCCGCCGTCGGCCTCCCCGTCTGGCGGTATCTCCTCCCGGCAGCCGGCCGGCCTTGCCATGCAACCACGCTCTTCACATTCGCCTGCTGGAACTGGCCGAGGTGGGCTGGTGGCCGCCAGTACATCGCGCCCGGTGCGTCGTCCGGCTGCCACGGCCGCCCTCTATCAGCAACAGCAGACCCCGCTCGCAGAACGCCCGGGATTCCGCACCGGCGGCTTCTCTCAGGGCGGGTCCCCTCCAGCCGATGAGAACCCCTCGCGTGCTAGCTACGCCCAACTCCTCCGCCTTTCGGCTGCTGCCAGCCGACGACCTCACTCCTCACGGCCACCGCCCCGGCAGTGATCCGCACATCACGAAGCAGAGTCCGATCTGTGTCCCTTGCTTCGCCCTTGTTCCGCACCGTTTCGCACCTTTTTTTTTTTTGCCGGCCCGCCCGCCTTCCCCTCCCCCTTCCCCCTTGTATTTGTAGTCCTTCTCCCAACCACCACCCATCCATCTGTTCACATCTGCCTTTGTGTGAGGCGGTACACGAGTGTGATATGTATAAATATACCCATATGTTTACATGTGTATATCCCTCACGCGCAACCCCCGCATGTCTTCCAGATCCGGCTCTTTGATTGTGGACCGCGCCCAACCAAGCCACACTGGAATGGGAGGGCAGTCTCACGGGGAGGAAAGGGCCAGGGACATGAAAGAGCGGGACACCGATGGCAACCTAAAAGTAGGCTGTTCCTCGGAGGGTGGACGCATGCCAACACCTGCCACCCCATGTGCCAATGGAGCATGTCTCCCGTGGGAGAGGCCATGCCCCGCTGCGGCTTCTCTGGGGAGTGTGCGAGCGGGCCGAGTGCGAACGGGCCGAGTGTTCGTGGGGGGGGGGGG